ATAAGTGGGTCACAGCTTTCCCTTTATGTTTTACATGCCCCAGAGCTTCACTGTTCCCTATTATGAGATGGCTGACAAAAAGGAATAAATGAAGAAAAATTCTAAATGCACAAAGCTTGGCGTGCCCACCTTCTCTTTTATTATAATAAAGTTTAAAATTCACTCAACAAGATGACAATAAAACATGCTGACATTGTCTGCAAAGAAGATTGTCTGGAATTAAATCCTCTATAGTGACAGCAATATTCTTATTCCAGCATGGTTCAGCGTGTAGCTTCAGCTTCAACTAGTAACAGCCTTTCAATTTTTTGCCATTGAAACTGGTGGAGCCATGAACTGACCAAAACAAAAGGGAGTAGCTGCAAACAAACAAACAAACAAAACACTCTGCTGGACCAAAATGTTTTTCTAGTCTTTCAAATGAACACATTTGCACATTCCTATTTTGTCATTATTATTTAACACCAAACCTTTATTGCCTGCTGTCAATGTAAAATGTATTGTGTTAATGCACTGTGGCTGCACTGTGTTGTATTCATTACAACAATGGTAGAAACTCTTAAATACTCATCTCAATAAGAGTTATGCCAAAATGCTGTTTTTTCATTAAATGGTGAATGACTTCAACCTAACATGGCTCTGTCAACTCATTTTGATAATTACAGGGTTTGATCTCCCCTGTTGTGGTTGTTGTTCTCTGAGTGAGGCTGGAGTGAATTTGTGCCAAATGTTTCTTGGAGTAGATGGTGTTTTATGTTTTGCTGATGCAAACGTACCAAGATATAAGCTTGTTTGTGTATTGATGGACTTTCTTCTCATGGAAATTAACCCAAGATCTTCCCTAGACAAACATTAGTAACATATAAACTGAAGCAGAGGCAACTACATCTGACCTGAATACATAAACTCCTATTTGAGACTTCCACTTACTTCCACTTACATCCACTTGGTCTGGTTTCTGGTCACATGGGGTGGAGCTCAAAGATAGGGTATAGTTACTTTCATACACCCCTTTTGGTCTTGGTTAGAATTTGCGGGTATAAAAACCTGTACAGGTCCAGCCCTCCCGGTGAAGACTCAAGGTCAAAGAACATGTTGACTATTTACTTCTAGCCTGTTACCACCCACCTCATTTTGGTGTGTGCACAATAGCACTACATACCCAAATGCCATAGCTTTTTAAAAGAAAACCTTAGAACCCACATGCTTGTGTGAGGCACCATTTTAAAGCTTAGGCCTTCTAGTTTCTGTAGATATGTACATGAAGACTGTGAGTGCTGCCTAACCTACAGTACAGTCAATTAAAATTGAAAAAAAAAATGTATTTTTTTGCTTCGAAAAAAATTTTGAAAAAAATAAAGGCCTTAGCTTGGTCATACTTCATGCTAGGCATTTGTGACTCACTACACTCATTGTTCAAGTTGTTGGCAACAACTATGTAGAATTTCAGATCTCTAGGACAAAGGGTTTTGATGCTGTGAGCCTTTGTGTATACAAAATGACAATTCGGCACAAGATTGCCAAATTTGTGCCAAAATAATAATAATAAAATAATAATAATAATTGTTATTATTATAATACTAATTCTTCTGAGCTTTAGGCATGTTTTCTCAAGAAAAAAAACTAAAAGTAGCCAAAATTGTCCTCCAAGTGGAAGATCTGCCTTCTATAGCACCGCCCGCACTGCTCCCTGTCTCCCTCGCTCTTACGCTTATAAACACAGGGTCCGTTTCCAATACTATCTGAATGTCCCACCCACCGTTTGAAAGCTCTGGTGATAGGCTAAAACAATATGTCAATCACTTTCTGGAAGATCCAATGACTGAAGGTGCGTTAGCTTCTTCAGCGGCTTGCCCCACCTAAACCCCGGCACCGACAACAGCGGGGAGGGTCTCATTTTGAAGCTAAGAATGTGAGGAAAACAAGCGCACCCAATAGTGCTAGCAATCCTGCTAGAAACGCAGTGGAAGAAGGGAGAGAAGAGAAACTTTTTTTCATATCATTGTATCCATCGATTCATACAGACGAGGGTTTTCTGGATTATTTCCCCACATGGAATTATTTTATGGAAAAAACAACTTGATATTCTTTTTCTGTGGATTATTACGGACTTATTGAGTACAACTTTTCATGGATTAAACGCGTTTTGGACCGACAGAACCGGTGTTCCGGATTGTCTGACGATCAGCTTAACTGGTAAAGGCGGGGCCACATCTGGAAGCATGGGGGGCGTGTCCTCTCGCTTCCATTCACTCCCATAGAGACACAAAACTGCCAGAACTGTATTGTCGCGTTAAACCTTCTTTATCGTGGCGTATTATTTCCCCATTGAAAAATAATCCAAATGTATCCCGCACATGTTCCCATCAAGACCTGGTTTGAAATAACAAACGTTGCTCTTTACTGCAGCGCATAAACGCGCTCAACGACTTGATCTGTTCGCTGCTCCAGACGCTCCTATAACAGGTGCCATATCACTATGTCGTGTAACAAATAAACATGGTCAAACACAAAATACTGTCCGTGTCTTCACTGTCATGAATGTTGCGTTTGTGTAGACATGTACAGACTTATATAATGTGTATAATGATCTAGTTCACACAATTTGCTACCAAAATAGGGATTGACTCATTGGATCATTTTGACACAATCACCCAGAGTGAAATATTACACAACATCTCGCTGTGAACACAACAGGTAGACTACATCTCCTGCTTCCAGATCCAGACGTGTTGGGCGTGTCCACTCAGCTGTAGATGTGGTGGGCGTGCACCATGCTCCCAATCCTTTTAGTCAGGTACAAAAGAAATAACTATCATATAGGCCAAAAGTCGTTTACACGTTCAGTATTTGTCATCCCTAATGCACTGTGTAATTGGCTGGTCTAGAATAAAGAAAAAATGTGACTGCGTTTGCCTATTATATGCTTCGTGATACAGAATATACATTCACCTGACCAGAGACAGACTGACGGAGCCAGTCCGTCTATGATTTTAGGTGGCGTTTCCCCCCCTACACGTAACCGCGGTCTGCACTGGCGTGCCCGCGCGCACACACGCTGAGTCATCCCGCACACACGAGTTCATTCCCCGTTTTCCCCGCTGTTTCATTCATTCGCGCCGTATTCACTGTTATCGCCTTCTCCCCTCTTTCCTCCGTTACTAATTCGCCAAGGCTGCACACTTGAGCGCGTTAGAGTAATTTATTTCATACTTGTCTCGTACCTGTCCGATGACGCTGTCTCTCTCTCTCTCCTCCGACGCGGCGCCTCTGCCAAACCAAGCCACTATTTCCTGGTAGTTGAAATAGGCGCTGTTCGCGCCGTGGTGCTGACCATGTGACGCGCATTATGTAATACGATTCTGTTTACGTTTTTCAGCTATTATTTTTGACATTTAATGTACATTATTACTGTGTGCTCAACGTAGCATAGACAAGGTAGGTTTATGGTTAAATTGTTTGTCTTTAGAATGATTTTGATATATTGCTCAGTGGGAGGAGTCAGGGGAGTATAAAGGGGAGCCGTTCCTGGCTGTTAATCAGTCTGCCACCGGGTACAGAGCAGGTAACGTCGGTGTGCTGTACAGATTCTTAAAGGGGACAGTTAACGCTGAACTCGACCCTGTTTCTTCGCTGTAAATACTTTTTGGATTGTTTTGCTCACTGTATATATTCTGCACTGTTTTTGGAATTTTTGCACTTTGGACACTGGCACAATAAACCACCTACACTACACAATGAACATATAAACTTCAGTGACTACAAAAAGCCTCCAGTCCAAAAGGCTTGCATGCAGCCGCAGCGCAGCAACAACCAGATCAAGTTGTTAAGGCACGCCCACCACATCTGCAGCCGAGTGGACACGCCCACCACATCTGGATCTGGATGCAAAAGATGTAGTCTACCTGTAGTCTACAGTCAGATGTTTTATATCTGGTTTGATCCTAGTTTAGACCTAGTTTAGACCCATATTAAGGCAGCAAATTGTGTGAAATGTCACATTGCATACATGTACATATAATATAGGCCTATCTCTACACACGCAGACCCCTGAGAGTAACAGGACTGGCAACAGTTTATCTTTGAGTATTTTTATCGGCAGGTTTGCGACTTGAAAGACAGCACAAGAACCATAATATTAGTTGTTGACATGGAGCGTCTACAGCAGCAGCAGCGCAGCGACAACCAGATCAAGTGGTTAAGGTGCACGCCCAACGCATCTACAGCTGAGTGGACACGCCCAACACGTCTGGATCTGGAAGCAGGAGATGTAGTCTACCTGTTGTGTTCACAGCAAGATGTTGTGTAATATTTCACTCTGGGTGATTGTGTCAAAATGATCCAATGAGTCAGTCCCTATTTTGGTAGCAAATTGTGTGAACTAGATCATTATACACATTATATAAGCCTGTACATGTCTACACAAAACACTACATTCATGACAGTGAAGACACGGACAGTATTTTTGTGTTTGACCATGTTTATTTGTTACACGACATAGTGATATGGCACCTGTTATAGGAGCGTCTGGAGCAGCGAACAGATCAAGTCGTTGAGCGCGTTTATGCGCTGCAGTAAAGAGCAACGTTTGAACAGGTCTTGATGGGAACATGTGCGGGATACATTTGGTTTCAATAATACGCCACGATAAAGAAGGTTTAACGCGACAATACAGTTCTGGCAGTTTTGTGTCTCTATATTGATGCCAGATGCTTTGAGCGTGAATGATGGTTATTTTATATCGATAGCTCGTTGTATGGCAATAATGTGATAGTGAAAACTAATGAAGGTGCAAATAAGGGCTGGCGATGCAATACTCATAATAGTTATTCTCTGCTGACAAAAGGGCTGTTGTTTGTGTTCATTTACTTCACCAGAAGCACACTCATTACGCTTTCTCTGAATTTCTTCCATTAACTATACTAAGAATGTCAAAAAGAAACTTTAATCAAATTATTCAGTACAGCACTCCCCCTTCTGTGTTCTTGTCTCTCTATGAATACAGATTAAAATGACTTGAACTGTGTGTCACCTGATAAAGAAATGTTATTTCTTTCTTATGTTATTTCTTCAGTTAATTTCTTATATTGTATCTCTATATTATGCCACTGTAAGACATCATATTGCTTTTACTGTCATTATACTGTTACTGTAAATGATTTAAAGGCTAGCGTGAGAACCTGAATACAAATGGTGAGAACATCATTGATCTTCCTTCTTATCAGGCACCTCTTCAAACCATACCCGAGAGGCTGTTTTATCAAAACACCAGGTGTGCCAAACCTCAGTGATCAACAGCCCCATCTCTTATCCCCTGTTGTCCTTTCTGTTATCTCAACCCCTTGCCCGTCCAACAGATGGTTTGAAAAGGTACCTTGGTATTATTTGAAGTCTTCTATAAAATTCCACAAAGTTTGATTTACATACTGTCCCCATCCCTTTGTCTAATGCTTTTTATTTGTATATTTTTGTTTGCTCAGACTACAAAAAAATCTATCTTCTTCACACAAAAAAAAAAAAAAAAAAAAAAGCAAAAAACAAAAAACAAAAATCTTTTACTTTTCAGTCCAGTTAAAATAATGTATTGGAGTAGAAAACACTGACACCTGCTCTCAAATGTAGAAAAGTAAAAAGTATCTACTTGAAATATTAAGTAAAGTAAGTAAAGTACAGATACCTAAAATGTATCCTTAAGTATTGTACTTTACTACTTGTACTTTGTTACCTTCCACCACTGGACCTGAATTAGCTTTGGTTAGACCCAGGATTTCACCTGATCTCATCAGATCTCAGAAGATAAGCAGGGTTAGATAAGTGGTTAGTAATTGGATGGGAGACTGCTAGGAATTCCAGGTGCCACAGTGGGGAGCCATTGGCAGAAACTTTGTGTCCTTAAACACAACTTCTCACCCACATTGCCTTGTATGAAAATGGTGTGTGCCCGAGTGTTGTTGGTGGTGGCAACAATAATATGTTACCGTCACTGAGTTGGAGTGAATGAATAATGCACAAAATTGTCATGTGACTTTGAGCTCCTGGAAAAGTGCTATTTTATCATTATTATTCCATTATTATTATTACAGTTCAAGATGGTGCAGCGCGTGGCAGTGATTGGGGCCGGTCCCTCTGGTCTGGTCAGTGTGAAGCAGTGTCTTGATGAAGGTCTGCAGCCCACCTGCTTCGAGAGCAGTGACGACATGGGTGGACTCTGGAAATTCAAGGCAAGTGAACAATGTTGTGACGTGGTCCTTTCCAGTGTGCACTGGGGTGATGTTGTTTATTATGTTTGTCTACAGGAAGTTTCAGAGCCGAACAGGGCCAGTATCTACCGCTCTCTTACTATTAATATTTCCAAAGAAATGATGTGCTATAGTGACTTCCCTATTCCTGCTGACTACCCAAACTACATGCACCACTCAAAGATCCTTAATTATTTCAGGATGTACGCTGAACATTTTAAACTACTCAAATATGTTCGATTCCAGGTGAGGTTGACATTTGACACAAGTAATAAACAAAAAAGCCAATAATGTTGCATCTTATAATGATGTCTTTTTATAAATTATAGACCTCTGTGAAAAGTGTAAAACAGAGACCTGACTACACCAGAACTGGACAATGGGAAGTTGTCACAGAGACCAAAGATGGACAAGAGGAGACGCATGTTTTTGATGCAGTAATTTGTTGCTCTGGTCACTACACTTATCCCAATCTCCCATTAAAAGACTTCCCAGGTAATGCTTGCAGTGGCTGCATACAGACTCACAATTAAATTATATAAATAGATCTGTATTAGTGAAACATAATAACTCTCTACTAATTAATATAAGCCTTTTTTCAGGTATGATTTTTTTAAATGATATTTTTACACCAAAAATCTAAATATATTTTTCCATACCACCATAGTCCAGAAATGTGTTGGCAAACACTGAATTACTTTAATTAATAAAAAAAAAAAGACTCTTCTCTTTGCAAACAGGAATTGAGACATTTGAGGGAAAGTACTTCCACAGCTGGGACTACAAAGGACCTGAAGGAATGGAGGGGAAGAGAGTGGTGGTGATTGGCATCGGAAACTCTGGAGGAGACATAGCAGTAGAGTCCAGCAGATTTGCAAAGCAGGTTAGGTCGTGTATCCTTAATCAAAACAACTCATTTTATGGGGAAATGATCAGCCCTTTCTCTGGCTCTCCTCAGGTGTATATGAGCACTCGGAGAGGGGCATGGGTCATTCGCCAGGTGTCAGACAATGGAGTTCCGGTCGACATGAAATACAACACTCGATTTGTCCACATCCTCTTCCAGCTTCTGCCTATGAGTGTCTTGAACTGGATTGGAGAAGGCAAAGTCAATGCCATGTATGACCACACCATGTACGCTCTGAAACCCAAGCATCGGTAAGTGGACTGAGAAGATTTTAATATGCTATAAGTAATATGCTATTAATGATTTGTAGTAGTTACTATTATCATACATTACTGATAATTAGTTAACTGTTTTATTTTTAATGCAAATATCCACTTAAGATCCCTTAGTAGAAAATATAATCACAAAGTGCATATAATCTCGTGCTATTTTTATTTACTTTACCTTCTGTTGCTCCCATATCTCCTGCCACTAGGCTGTTCAGTCAGGTTCCTGTGATAAATGATGACCTGCCCCTCAAGATCCTGTCCGGCTCAGTTATTATTAAAACAAATGTCAAGGAAATCCGTGGCTCTGACGTCATATTCTCAGATGGCTCTGTTGTTGAAAAGGTACTTACAAAAAGACACAAACTGCAGCACCACATAACATCACAAAATGACACATGGCCTAAGTGGTTCCTTGAAGCACAGAGAGAAAGGAGAAAGAAGAACAACATGTGCAGAACACCCTCTCTGTTTGTGGTTATCTAAAATGGGCTTTCAGTAGAACAACAAGAGCCAGAAAACAAGGCAAAAGAGAATCAGAACCCAGGAGAAAGGGTGTAACTATTCCTTACATGTCTTGTGTTTCTGAAAAAACTACAGAGGATTTTCAGACAACATGAAATCCCAGTCTATCAAACCTACATACACTTTAAGACAGAAACTGGTCCACCCAAAGGACACAATACCAAGCCACAAATGCAGCAATGTTGTCTACTCCATTCAGTGTAGTGAAGACTCCAGTGAACACTACACTGGAGAAACGAAACAGCCACTTCACAAGAGGTTGTTCCAACACAGACGTGAGAGCCACACAGGACCTCAGTGTGCCATACAGCTCCATGTGAAATCCACAGGCCACTTCTTTGAGGATAGTGAGGTACAGATCTGAGTCAGAGAAAATGAATAGGCCTAACTAACAAACAAAAACTCTAAACAAGTAGGGTGTTAGTTTCAGAGTAGTTTCAGTGTAGTTAGCTCCTCCCTGCAGGCAGATATAAGGAAGTATCCACCAGCATTCCGACCAGAACTGAAGAAGCAGCTTTGATGAGCTGAAAAATGTTTTTGACTTAAATAAACGTTTGTCCAGTTGGCAAATTGAATTTCTCCTTTGCCATCACATAACAGAGTACTAAAATATAGACAGTACACACTGTCAGAACTGTAATATAAAACAAAATAATGGAAATACCATAAATTAGAAAAATAAATAGAATTAATCAACTATTAATATAAAAAAACTATGTATTAATAAACACAAGTACCATAACATCATACTTCATAGTTACAATATACCTAAGTGTCTGTGGTTTACTATCTTTGAATAAAAGACTTGGAAGTAGAAGTAAATAATGTTTTTACTTTTTTACAGGTTGACGTAATTGTTTTTGCCACGGGCTACAACTATGACTTCCCATATTTGCCCAAGGAAGTAATGTACAGAACTGGCCATCGCGTTGGCCTGTACAAACATGTGTTTCCCCCGACACTAGAGCACCCGACTTTGGCTGTGGTCGGATTCATCCATGCCCTGGGAGCCATCATGACCCAGGCGGAAATGCAGGCACGTTGGGTCACACGGGTGTTTAAAGGTAGGCTTCCAACTAATAAATACATAAATATCTTCTATCATCTAACTGTCTTATGCTTTTACAGGACATTGTAAGCTACCTCCAACCCCGGCAATGGTAAAGGCTGTAGAGAAAGACACTAAGGACATTGAAAATAAGTAAGCTTTACTTGATATTGCATTGCTACACACAGAGAATGAATATAAATGAATAAATGCCCCTGGGAAAACCTGAACAGTAGGTGCGCAGAGACTGAAGACCTTTCTCCAGACCTTGAGCTAGGTTAATGGTCACTGGTAGCCTATAGTCAATGTTTCCACAGACATTTTAGGAATCTGACCCCAGACCTTCTTGTTTTGAGGCAGGAATGCTGAACTCCAGTCTGTCATATAAGACAGAGCTGCTTCACAGGACACATAAAGCCCAAAATGAGATTTACTGATGGCCTGAAAAAGGACGCAACATGTGAGAGATTCTGGACCCATTTTTGCCCCCGATCTTAGCTCTAATCATGAGCTGTGCTGTGCCTGAACATGGAGTGGAGTGGAGCAGACTGAGGGTGTCGGTGAATTACCAGAATCATAAAAAAAAAAAAAAAACATTTAACATGCTGAAGTCTTCTTTTATTTGGAATATATTAGGATGATAATATTTGTGTGCTGTACGGATGCCCTCCCGCATCAGAGCACATCCCCTCGCCCGTTTCTTGTATTAGCTTAGCACTGCTCTATAGTTTGGTTTGATCTGGAACTGTACAAAAGTTACTCAGTCACTGCACTCATGGCACATATCAGTCATTTGTGCAGGGCAAATGCAGGTCGTACAGTCACCCTCCCTGTGTGTTAATATCAGAAACATTTACTGTATATAATAATATTAATTCTTTATTTATAAAGCACTTTTAAAAACAAGGTTTACAAATATATATAACTTTTCCTCACACCCCTCTTTGCTGCTTGGAAATGAGATAAACATTGCAGACATTACCCACACTGGCAGTGCGTTTAAATGCTACCACAGTCACATATTGGTTCAGATGCCATCACCATTTATGTACTTGTACCATCACACTGCAGCCCCCAGCAGCAAAGTACAGCCTGACCTGGACATGCCTCCTCAACGTTAAGATCGAGGGTAAGATAGGGCCCACTGTATTTAAATTAGCGTAAGATGTGTTTTTTTAAACTGGATGAAGCAACAACTAGACCACTGACACATCTGCACAGAGAAATCAGACCCAACTCCTTTAATTAGATGTTTTATTTAATTTTCTCCACAGTTACATAGTGTCCAAGCTAACCCCGCTGCAGGTGGATTTCGTTACCTACATGGACGAGCTCGCTGGGGAGATTGGAGCGAGGCCAAGTCTGCTGTGGCTCTTCTTCACAGACTACCCCCTGTTTAAGAAGGTCCTATGGGGTCCTGTCACTGCCTATCAGTACCGCCTTGTAGGACCGGGGAAGTGGGACGGCGCACGCAGGACAATCTTCACCCAGTTTGATCGCATGTACCAAGCTCTGAAGACAAGACAGGTCCAGTATACTAACTAAATACATCGACTTATGCAGTACTACCATGTAACTTCTGACATCTTACATTATTTATTTATTCAGGTTGAAGAAGAATCACATGTATCCTACATTGGGAGACTGATGAAGCTGATTATGTTTGTGATGGCTGGCGGAGCTGCTGTCTATTACTTTCATAATCACAATCCAGACACCATTCCCAGTCTGATTTCAAAGATTGTACCAATAATTTCATGGAACAATCATCATTAGTGAAAGTGCCTTATGCAATGAATGTAAAACCATGATCATTGTTTTATTATACTGCCATATATTATGTTACATAGTCTAGACTGTATCTTGCTCTAATCTGTTTGAAAAACATTTTAAGACATGTTTTCTCATGTATTGCAATCATCTTTTTTAACCATTATTCACAAATGGCATCTGACAAGACAATTGTGTGCAGGACGGTTGGGCAGTATCCAAATTTTTATACCGTTAAACCTTCTCAGCATTTTACAGGGATATTACTGTTTTACCAAAATGTATGACTTTGGTGAGCTACAAACCCGCACAGCTATATGTATGACCTGCAGATTTATAATCTCTGAAAAGTTTCACATGAACCATCTCTAACGTGATACATGCACAGAACAGACTCACCATCAGCCGCACATCTACTGTCACAGAAAGAACACTCATATTCCACTGAGTCGTGCCTTTTAGTCCGACAGAAGCGGACCTCATCAGCACAAGGAAAGAGCTGTTTTTATCAGGCTTCATAGTTTATGCAAATGAGCCATGTGGTTTTAAGCTTCATTTCTGTAAAATGTAAACAAATGTGCGCAAAGCTGCTTTAAACACATTATTACTCAAAGTATATTTGAATCCTCAAAGTAGGAAATAAAAAAAAAAAAAAACTACTTAAATTATCCTCCCACATTCATAATACACATTCAACAAGACAGGAAGGCAACGTGGGGTGAATTACACCACGATCTGCCAATGAATCTTGGGTGCCTGGGCTAAGGGATCATTCTCAAGTCTTGTCTGTTTGTTTCACTTAGTGTGCCATATAATCCGCTGCGCCTTCTGTATGACAACACCTTCAACATTATTGATATTGTGTCTTATAATCCAAAAAATACCTGTAATAATAAAAACACAAATAATAAAAGAACATTAAATAGCAAATTCAGTAAAGAAACTATATGTTATGTCATAGGCTATGGGTTACATCATATCCTGAGACTGCAACAGGAACGGTCAATTGGTTTATTTACCCATCTCCCGTCATTCGGCCTGAAGCCAAAATGTCTCAGTCTCACTTATGAGTTGTCACGTGACAATGGAACAAAACTAATCAAATGACATCTCCCCACGCAGTTAAAAGAAACATTATAGACTACTATCCATTTTAAGTCATGATAGCATTAAACTGAAACTACAACCACACATTCATTTGTGCTTAGCAAACAAATTGAGGTATTAATATTAGGTCCTTATGCGCTGCAGATTTTTTTAATGATGGTAATGAAACTGATACCATTGCTACTTTTTGATACCGTGGGATACTGTAATATCGTATCACCGCCCAACCCTAGTATGCAGTCAGCACATTTGACCCCATATGAACCCATACTGTGGAAATAGGCTATGTCAATTATAAACCATATATCTCTTCATTTATTTACACTAATGAAAAACATTATAACTCCAGTTTAATCAGTGCATGTAGGAATAGTTTGTTGAGTGTGCCACCTGGAGATAAAGCATTTAATTTAAGTGTAACAGCTGGGGACTCTTTGTCAGGCTGTATACAAAAGACAGGACAGAGTGTGGAGTCAGTCAGCTTTATTCCTGTGACAGACATATAAATACTCTTCACACATTTTAGGCACACTGGCTCCTCTCTACAGTCTCTAACGTGTTACTGATGAGAAGGGGAACAATTACATGGATGTTTTATTACCATATTACACAGGGTTTTGCTCTCAATTATATAAACCATGTATGAACAATAAACTATTTAAAATTTACTTTGTTTTTGGTGGAGTAATTATTTGAAGAGACAAATGCACAATTTACAACTTTTGCATAAATAAAATGAAATAAAACATCCTTATGACAGACATATAAATACTTCACAAATATAAAGTCTTCACACATTTCAGGCACACTCGCTCCCTGTAAGAATGAGAACAGCACCCTGAGATGGCTGCTCATTTTCGTGGCATTCAGTTCAATGTTACAATGTCAAGCTAACTTGAAAATTTTACAATCCAAATAAAATATAGAAAATTTAAAATTAGCGCACCACAATACATCCATTACATGTGAAAACATTTTCTTATGAACATGTGTTCTTGTAATGTTGCTAAAAGTACATTGTTTTTCTAAAATATTCTTTTCCACCCAGAGAGAACCAGGAAATAGTGATAAATGCATTTTTAACTCCGTTACATAAGACATGAATTTCTCGGTCATCTCCAGTGAGATCTGGGCTGAGAGTCATTTTGAATCAAATCAATGTGTGGTTACACATTCCTCTTTAAAAATGAAATGGATCAAAAGATATTTATTGAACCCAAATTCTTTATGGAACTTCATTTCAACACATGTATCTGAAGCATTAGGAGGTTCAAACTTGATCCTGAGATGTAATTATAGGATCGATAGAAGTGGTGGCTGGTGATATAATTTTTTTTTTTTTTTTTAAATATTATAAATATAAAGTGAGGAAAATAAGTATTTGAACACCCTGCTATTTTGCAAGTTCTCCCACTTAGAAATCATGGAGGGGTCTGAAAATTTCATCGTAGGTGTATGTCCATTGTGAGAGACATAATCTAAAAAGAAAAATCTAGAAATCACAATGTATGATTTTTTAACTATTTATTTCTATGACATAGCTGCAAATAAGTATTTGAACACCAGTCTATCAGCTACAATTCTGACCCTCAAGACCTGTTAGTCCGCCTTTAAAAAGTCCACCTCCACTCCATTTATTATCCTAAATCAGATGTAGTCGTTAGCTGCATAAAGACCCCTGTCCACCCCATACAATCAGACTCCAACTACTAACATGGCCAAGACCAAAGAGCTGTCCAAAGACACCAGAGACAAAATTGTACACCTCCACAAGGCTGGAAAGGGCTTCGGGGAAATTGCCAAGCAGCTTGGTGAAAAAAGGTCCACTGTTAGAGCAATCATTAGAAAATGGAAGCTAAACATGACTGGTAATCTCCCTCGGACTGGGGCTCCATGCAAGATCTCACCTCGTGGGGTATCAATGATCCTAAGAAAGGTGAGGAATCACCCAGAACTACACGGGAGTAGCTGGTCAATGACCTGAAAAGAGCTGGGACCACTGTTTCCAAGGTTACTGTTGGTAATACACTAAGACGTAATGGTTTGAAATCACGCATGGCACGGAAGGTTCCCCTGCTTAAACCAGCACATGTCAAGGCCTGTCTTATGTTTGCCAGTGACTATTTGGATGATCCAGAGGAGTCAGGGGAGAAAGTCATGTGGTCAGATGAGACCAAAATAGAACTTTTTGGTCATAATTCCACTGTGTTTGGAGGAAGAAGAATAATGAGTAGCATCATGCTTTGGGGGTGTTTGAGTAATATGAGTTATAATGAACTAGCAAATCCATCTACGCCATGACACGGTGACGTTATACTTACCAATAAATACTGTATACATTCCAAGGGGTTGCCTGTAAACACGAACATTAATTGATGCTGAAGCTGCATTAAACTGTAATGTGTAACATTTCATTGGCTGTGACGTCTGTAACCAGGACAGTTTGGTACTGTTTGGTGTAAACTGGGACATTTCAGCGCCCCGAGGAGCTTTTGGTTGCATTTCATGCGAAAAATGCAGCTGAGATGAAGGTTAAGACTGACTGACTGCTTGCTGTGGCTATAGCCGTGAATGTTTTAATCTAAACATGCAAAAAACGCCGATATTTGCTAATTTGCCCTGGGACATAGACATTTTTATAATAAATTTTAATAAACCCACTTGTTGGTTGCTGTTGTAGCTCCTTGTTGTGCCCTTACTCTGTGTTTACCATGGATTTAGGTTTATACCCTTTGGTACAAACTTCAGCATGCGCAGTCTTTGTCTTGATCGATGTTTCTACGGCTCGATAAATAATGTCTGTGAAGTGATGATGTATTTTTGACAGTAAAGTCCCATCTGTAAATTCGTATTCGTACTGAGGAAAGTGTAATCGTAAAATTTCATTTCGTAATTGTAATTCTTGACATTCTAACTTTTCAGTTCGGATAAAATACACACAATCTATTTTATGTTCGACTGGACTCATTTGAGAGTTTACAAATATTTATTTTATGCGCAACTACAGCCAAATATGCACGGATTTCTATTCTGTGCGCACAAATATTTTTGATAGCTTTCTTACTCTATAGATCGGGATCTATTCCACAACCCATGAGGATGACTTTAGCTTTATACCTTTCTAATGACGACTGATCTAAAGCAGTAGCTTCTAAAGCGGATGACCTACCAACTCCAAACCAAGTTACACCTTTTGGTTTTTCCGAATTAAAAATTTATGTTTTTAATGGAGTTGGTAGGTCATCTACCTTAGAAGCTATTGAAAAAAAATCAGATTTTCAAGGAAAAAAATTCCTAAAAATTCCATAAAGGGTTAAATTGGAAAACTAAATGGTGTGCGTGATACCTGAGGAGTAGGACTACTATAATAACTTGGTTTGGAGTTGGTAGGTCATCTGCCTTAGAAGCTATTGAAAAAAATCACAGATTTTCAAGATTAAAAATTCCTAAAAATTCCACAAAGGGTTAATTTGGAAAACCAAAATGTGTGCGTGATACCGGAGGAGTAAGACTACTATAATAACTTGGTTTGGTGTTTTTAGATTAATTGACCTGGAAGATATTGAAAAAATGCATTAACTAATTAACTCTCAAAATACATAAAAATAACAAATGTTTCATAAAACCCTTTTTTATTTTTTTATAAATCCCTTTTTTATTTCTTTATATATATATTTTAGCAGACTCCATTCAATGTACTGGTAATTTATTGACGGTCCCTAACCCGCGGACTCAGCGGAGCTTTGGTGTACAGCTCCTCGCACCGTGATCGAGCAAGCGGGGCACAGGCAATGAACATCTCCGCTGTTGATGCGTAACTGAATATCGAACGTCTAACGTAAAACTAACTTCACCACGGTAGCAAACTTCCCAAACTTCAGGCTCTTCCATAAACTTAAATTAAGTCGCTCCGGCTCAGCGCATTCAAATTCCAAACACATGACTCAAATAACGTGACATGAGCACATTTAACATGATAAACGTAGAGGGCAACCTTATACACCAGTATCTCGGGGCTGCCCGGGACTCGAACCAGCGACCTCGGCATTGAGGCGAGGGCTGAAGCCAAAACCGTATTTGAAAGCCAAAAGTATTGGACACTCGGGGTGATCAGGCCCAGGACGATGTGCAGGTCCGATCTCTGGTGAGAGTCCGAAACCATGCGGATCCGGCTCACCGCCATTGGAGGCTCTCAAGTGTCAACTCTCACCGTGTACGCAACCCATCATGTCTCTGTGTTCAAGGAAAAGGAAAGAAACACGGCTTCTATTTAAACCCTGCTACTGTCCTTGTAATTGAATTTTGTGATTCAGTGTGCAATAACAAATTTTTGAGATGTTCCTTACTAAACGATTCCTTTCCCAAGCCAATTAAAAGAGATTATATTCTTAAAAGGAACTTTGAAAGGAAAATTAAAAGGATATTAAAATAATCAGAACTAAATATCTTTCCTTTCCAGTTCCAGTAAAGGAGATACAATTTTAAATTTTGAATAATATTTATCCAACCAATGAATTCCTAAAACAAAAATTCAAATTCGAAACAGGTAAATGTGTGTTCTGTGACACAGGGGAAGAAGACTTGGAACATCTTTTCTTTTCATGTAGTTTGGTACAACAATTTTGGTTTGATTTTCATTCGTTGCTTCAGTCCAGGGGAATTAAATTTGCCCCCAACAATAAAATAAATTAAATTTGGTGTATTAAGAGAATATAAACGGAAGGAATTTGGAATTAATAATTTATTGATCTTAGGAAAAAATGTTATGCACAAATGTCGATGTTTTAAGGTAAAACCAAATATAACGTACTTTAGTAATGACCTAAGAATTTTTGTTGACTCACTGAACCTGACTGAAAAAAAGAGAAGCTGGGTTTGTGCCAATTTGTTCCTTTGATTGCATGCTTTAGAATTTGCCCCCATGGTTCGTTCGTGAATGTATCCTTGTTTACATTTTCTTCACCAAAAAAAAAAACAAAAAAAAACTGTCCTTGTAATTGAGTCATGGTGCAAACAAAAATATTCCTGAGGGACCATTTAGACGCCAAAGAGGCCTTCGACCTCCATTTTAGTAAAGAAAAGGTGTTGGCGTTTCTGTTTTGGACTCTAATTATAACTCGTGCAATTTAGACAAGTTTTGGCCCTGTTAACACTGTGGAGCTATATGTAACAGTTATGGAATATTGGATTGAACTGTGTTGTTGTTGTTGTTTCAAATGTCAGTACAACATGTCACATAGGACGCCACAGACCAAACCAAAACGCTTTAAAAATTACGATAACATTGTAGTCCTCGTTGTTTGGGGACTAATAGGCCTATGCACGTTTAATGTTTTTTTAGGCTCAGTACACTTGGCTAATTTATCTGCTCATCTGTTAAAGTTCCTATCTCATAACTACCTCTTAGTTTTAGTTCACAAAAAGATACAATTTCTTCAAACCGTGTAACCGCTATTACAATAAACCTTTCTTTTTTCTTTTCTTTTTTTAATTTAACCTTTTACGGTACAGGATAAAACATTGTATACAGATGACTGGATAAAATGAGTGACGTTTGCAAAGACAAGTGATTATTCTGGGCATATGGGCAGTGTCTGAAAAGTAAAATATGTTTGGTCCGATCGCCCTCTAGTGGACAAATATTTAATTTTTGACTATTTCTCTTGACTTTTTTTTTTTTTTTTTGGTTTGTTTTATTTTGGTTTGGTTTTTGTTCACAGTACACTATCAGTGACTACTCAAATAAACGAAAACCAAAAATAAGAGTAAGGAAACTGAAGTCTGACATGTTATGTACGATTGTATATTTTCTCTGTGTTACCTTCAGCTCAAAAAGCAGCATGTCCAGCATGGACACTTTTACATGTGCCCGCTGAACTTCTGCTCAAGTTAAAACAGTCTTTTAATCTTGTTAATGTTGAACAAGATAGAAATAGGAAAGATATACTGCACACAAGCTAATTTGTTGAGCTCTTGAAAAGAGTTCTGACCTTTGACTTTGAATCAACAAAATATCAGGCAAAGGGGACAGTTAATGAGTTACAGATGACTGAGTATTTTTTTCTCAAAATTAGACATGACTGCCACATAATTATATTACAAATACATAAAACATCAATCAGTATCTATTATAAGAATATAATGTAAGAAGCTTGAACCCAAAGAAAAAAAAACACTACATTTAAATGTCCTATATTGCACAAAACTGACACTTGTGAGCTTGTTACCTGTTATTACCTCTGCAAAAACAGACCCGGACTTCTGTTTTTTTTTTTTCATTCACACATGTTTGAGTAACCCTTATTATAGTCTGTCTACATGCTCAAAATGCTATGTTCCACCTTGTGATGTCATGAAGCAGTAGAATTTATGTAGCACTTATACGATGCCACAGGAGGAGGTATAGTAATAGTAGTAATGGTAACTGGCTAGATCAGAAGATTGGGTTCGGCTCGGAGGGAAGTGAGGTGTTTAATAAGACACGTACACAAGGTGGTAGTGCTTATCTGTGATATTATTATTTACAGTGTATAACAGACAATATATACAATATTTACAGGAGTGCACAGTTATGTGATTCAGTTCAGAGGCTATGGAGAGTTCAATGAGTTATAGTCCATAGTCCGATTGATAATAAGCAGCAGCAAAATGTCATGTATTCCACACGGAGATCGTGTGAAAGGAAAAAAATAGTTCCGGAGATGGTTATGGTGAATGGGTGATTTCCAGCAAAGTTTATGAGGAGCCCAATGCCCACAGCAGGGGGCAGTGGGTGTGTGAGTGTGTGTGTGTGGGTTGAGCGGCTGCTACGCCTCCTACCGCACAGGCAGATGCTTGCACTTAGTTTGATTTGGGCTCTAGGCCTTAGCTCGCCATCCAGTGTTTGAAAATCCAGTTGCGGAGAGTTCCGTTTCAGAGAGTTCAGGTTCGGAGAGTTCAGGTTCGGAACCTGGCCTGTGCAAAACAGGACCAGCAGTGAGTAATACAATTTGTTTAGTACAACTAAGACACTATAAATCATTTTTCAACATTATAACAATTTGTTATGATAAATCTGAATAATTATTCCATCCATGTACATGTATCAGTATAAATCAATATCTAGAGTACTCCATTGTAAAATATTTCCCATTAATAATAAGTAATATGTCACTTTAAATTATTTAAATTTAACAGGGTCATATATCAATCGTTATTTGTTGTCAATATCAGTAGTCAGTCAATAAATTTCATTGAAAAGTAGTCATATAAATGGATGCGAACAAGTGAGACTAGCGCCAGCACCAGCTCACAGGTCCGTATTGAATCAGAGCGCTAGCATTAGCATTAGCTTAGCATTAGCTTAGCATTAGCTTAGCATTAGCTCCGCAAGGCAACAAACAAACTCAACTCACCAGTTCCACTTAGTTTACGCTCAAACGATCACGACAGCACTTCGTCGAGAAGGTAAGAGGCATCTGGGGAAGTTGATGGCATATAAGTTACTTTAATATACCTTGAGCGAAACAGTGAGTTTTTAAAAGCAATAATCGCCTACCTGCAGCCGCTCAGTCACACCCGGGACCGACACAACACATGAATGAATGGTAGCGTGCGCGCGGCCATATTTAAAGATCTTGGCGCAATTAGTCTCGCGTTATGTGCGCAACGTCTCGCGATAGTTGCGAACGACAGCGGCCAAATTATTAGGTAGAGAGGGACAGCACAGAAAATACCTGGGTTACATTTAGTTAGTTAGTTAGTTAGTTAACAGCTACATTTTGCCTTTGGTTCAGTAGAGATGGGCAACTGTAGGGCTGAAATTATCCAAATTATTCTAATGATGGTGTATGGAGTTTAACACCCTCATGCTCTCCTCGGGGTCACATTGACCCGAATATTTTTTTAATTACCTTCCCGCTCTCTTGGGGCAGGTCAATCAGACCCAAAAAATTAATTTTGAAATAAATTCTCGCCAGGCGAGAAAATAATTTTTTGGGTCTGATTGACCCACCCCAAGAGAGCGGGAAGAAAAAAAAATAATTCTTTGAGTCAATGTGACCCCAAGGAGAGCGTGGGGGTTTTAAAAACACCATGGAGCACTTCCCGTATAACCACATGACATCACAAGGTGGTCTGTTCCACCACGTTTCCATCTGAGAGAACAACTCAGCCTAAATATGCAGAGTTAGTGTGTTAAACTCTGAAAGGAATTAAACAAAATTCCAGGTATGTTTTTAATGAGGAGACAACATTGTAACACAGATATGAGCCCTTTAACCAACTTTTATTAAAAATGTACTACATAAAATGAATATTCACTTAATTAGACTGTTGATAAAACAGACATTAAAACATTATCTGTAAAGACTAGACCATCTGGAATTAGATTTACTACTGACCACAGTATTTTTCCTGAGTTGCATACACCAGAGTGATCTGGAATGAACTCTGGTCCAGGGACATTCCTCTCCTGTGCTCTTCTCTTTCTCACACCTGGAATTCATTAAACCAGCTCAGTTAGTTCAGCCTGCTCCTAGTGAACCCCACATCCTGGATTTAAGATTCACTCAAGTCACTCATTGATTTGGAGCATTCAAGTTTGTGAACATCTTTTGTCTGCTCTGCTCACTATTGTGGCGTATCTGATCTAGGATAAGGGGCACAGGGATATAAGTGAGTAGACTCTATAAAATTGGGTGATGAGTGTGGAGAGATACATTCAGTTCATTGACTGGTAGTGGTGGGTGTGCTATTGTAGTTTATATTCACTGTTCAGTTTTATAATCCCCTATAACCCATACAAACAAATGGCTAGACTAGAAGCTGAGACTTTAGTTTCGTCTTCTGTTTGATCTGCTCTAGTTATAAATGGTAATAAACTGTGAGCAGAGGAAAAGCAGATTTTAAATTTTTTTGTGGGTAAATAGGTAAAACTGCTGTTTGAAGGATGGTCTGATAGATGGTAGACTGAGCATGTCAATGGTCTTGACAAATCCCTTTTTAAAGCTGAAGTCCAAATCAATCACTAAAATGAGATTTACAGATATTATACAGTGTTGGTTCATTGCTTTGACTGAAAATAAGTGAGTCACAGCTTTCCCTTTATGTGTTAGGTGCTCAGGAGCTTAACTGTTCCCTTGTATGATATGGTTGACAAAAAGGAATGAAGAAAAATTCAAAAGGCACACAGTAGCACACGGTTCTCTTTTATTACGATAAAGTTTCAAATTCACTCAACAAGATGACTGATAATAAAACAAAGATTAGATTGTCTGGAATTAAAACCTCTATAGTGACAACAATATTCTTATTCCAGCATGGTTCAGCGTGTAGCAGTGATCGGCGCTGGCCTCTCTGGGCTGAGCTGTATCAAAACCTGTCTGGAGGAGGGACTGCAGCCCACCTGTTTTGAGAGCAGCCAGGATATTGGAGGGGTCTGGAGATACAAGGTGAGCTGTGTCTTTTTTTAAAATTCATGTTTCAGTTTGAAGTAACAATAGTAAGAGTACATTTTAGTGAGCCTACTTGGTTGTCCATGTTTGGAGTTGGAGAGAAACCTGTTTAGGTTGGGTCATCAAAATCCTATCCTATATAATATTGTTATTGAAGGCAACGCAAGGCAAGTTTATTTGTGTAAGTGCTTTTATAGAAAAAAGATCATTATCACTAATGAGTGCAGTTAAAATTCTTCAGGCACAGCTATGCACAGCTGACCAGAACCATTTTAGCCTGGATTTAAACATTGTCAGAGCAGAGGCCTGTCTCATCTTCAGAAAGACTGTTCGAGATTTTGAACTGCATAACACTGAAATGCAGACCCCCTATGTTTAGTCCTGACTCTTGGCACCAGCAGGTGGCCGGTCTTTTAGTCCCTCAGAGTTGTTAAATGGTACACATGGTACAAATATGTCAGATATGTACTTGGTGTACTTTGGTGTCTCAAAAACATTTTACATGGTGTAAACGTTTTAAATCCTACATGGCTCTCTATAACATTTAATCCATAAATTTGTCAAATTCCAGGAGCAGCCTGAGCCGGGCAAGGCCAACATCTACCAGTCTGTGGTGGTTAACAGCTCCAAAGAGATGATGGCATACAGTGACTTCCCTCCTCCAGCAGAACTGCCCAATAACATGCACCATTCTGAGGTCCTGGGTTACCTCCGTCTCTATGCCGACCACTTCAAACTCCTGCCGCACATACAGTTTAAGGTTTGGGATGGGATGGTTTTGGTCTTAATTAATTAAGTTAATTAGTTACTTATTAATCTGGTTGTTTTAATGCTGCAATCACATTGTCAGACTACAGTGCAAAAAGTGAGACAGACTGCAGATTTTGCATTGACCGGACAATGGGAGGTGTACACAGAGAAACAAAATGGACAGAAGGACACCCATGTTTTTGATGCAGTGATGGTTTGCACTGGACACTTCACACATCCTCGTCTTCCTCTGAAAGACTTCCCAGGTGTGAGCATTTATATAGTCATAATTTTGAACAAAGCTATGGTATCCGTAATAATAAGATTTTGTTCATTTTAGGTATTGAAAATTTTGAGGGCAGATATTTCCACAGCTGGGAATACAGGAATGCACAAGGTATGGAGGGGAAAAGAGTGGTGGTAATCGGGATTGGGAATTCTGGGGCTGACATTGCTGTGGACATCAGTAGAGTTGCGGAAAAGGTAACCAATTGAAACCTAAGGTATTTTACTTTACTTAACAAAAATTATATATGTAAATATGACATAATGTCACTAGTTTGTAAAGCCAAGACCCAATTCTAGATAGAGCTATATCTACAGCTATATAATAAAATAAAGCTATCCACATCAGTATATAATTCTCATCATTCTAACCACAGAATATACAGTATAATGCAATGAATAAGTTTGTTCTGTGTACAGGTGTATCTCAGTACCAGGAGTGGTGCATGGGTTGTGAGTAGAGTGGGACCAGGGGGGTTTCCCCTTGACATTACCTTTTCCCGCATGGACCAGTTTTGGGGGACTTATTTTCCATCCTGGTCCAACAAGAATGTAGAGAAGGCACTGAATGAGCATTTTGATCACACTTTATATGGTCTCCAGCCAGCGCACAAGTAAATCATTTTTATATAGTATATCAACCATATACATGTAATCTCTTCATTAAATGCAAATAATATTATGTTGCAGTTTTTTTGCACGGATACCTGTGGCGAATGATGAGCTCCCAGCACGGATCATTTCAGGAAGAGTACGGATCAAACCAAATGTCAAAGAGTTTTCTGGCTCCAGTGTTTTCTTTGATGATGGCACCGTCATGGACAAGGTATTTTAGCTATAGGAGGTTCTAGGTTTAAGTCAGCTCTGTGAGTAAGTGGGCCAAGGGTGTACCAAATCATTGACCATGTACAAACAATATAAAATACTGACATGGACACTAGAAGAAATGTTTTCCATTTTTAACAATAAAGCGTTAATTTTGCCCTTGCAGTGTCTAAAACTAAATAGATTTATTTGACTAAATTAATTCTTGTATAACTTGTGAGAATTGCTTTGTGTAAAAATGTGTCATAGAATGGCAGGATGTTTATTTTAACTCAGGCCCAGGTCACATTTGACATGTGACTGAGGAGTGAGTGTGAGTCTTTACAGTATATCTTGTCTACTTTGAGGTGGATGTGGTGATCTTCGCCACTGGGTACGACTACAACTTTCCCTTCCTGCCTCAAGAGCTACAGAAAAAAACTGGCTACAGGCTGCGTCTCTACAAACAAATGATTCCTCCATCACTGGCCCATCCCACTCTGGCTGTGGTCGGCCTCATAAACGCACTAGGAGCGGTCAATTGCTTGTCCGAGATGCAGGGGCGCTGGGCTACAAGGGTCTTCAAAGGTAGATTTTATATAAATGATATGGCTCTGTAGAGTGTTAAAAATGCTGAATGTCTCCATTTGTTTAATTTTGACATTTCTCTTTGTGTCTTTTACAGGCATCATAAAGCTACCTTCAGAAGAAACAATGAACAGAGAAATAGAGAAAGAGACAGAAATCATGCACAAGTGGTAGGCAAAATTATTTTACTTGTTAAAGGGGTTTGTTTTTAGGTAGAGAGCCTATTGCCTTCTTTTTTTCCCTGAAAAGTAGTTATCACAGTTTCATAAGACAATCAGGTGATGGACCTACCACTAGAAAAAGTCATTTTACATATTGCACCTATTAAGTAAAAAAAAAAAAATAAATCTGTACATTGCACATTGCATAAAGTGTTGTTTCAACAGATCTCTTCCAACTCCGTCTGTAATATTTGTCTGTAGCCTACTTACTGTAAATTCCAGACAATAAGCCGCTACTTTTTTCTCACACTTTGAACCCTGCAGTTTATACAACAATGCATCTTAGGTATGGATTATTTCTTAAAATATACGGTATACGGATTATTATTTAATCAAAGCAGCGAATTTGCTCATAGCCTGAGTGCAGAAAGTGCACTGTCTCTGTGGACACTGACCATATGAAGCCAGACAGGATTAGAGCAGCGGCAATTTCTGCAGGAGACGTGCGCAGTAAATGGCAAAGTGACGTAGTCTGTCTATCCCGCTATAGATTTTAATGGGCAGAGGCTAGTTTGATTGTGTTTTGAAGTCATTTTGAATTTCATGCACACGTCCTCCTCATGGAAAACACAGGAAGAAATGCATACGATGCAGCTTTTAAGTTAAAGGCAATTGATGTGGCTGTGGAATCAATCAATCAATCAAACTTTATTTCTATAGCACCTTCCAATGGCACTGTTCAGAAAAGCATGTACCGGTATTTATGTTAATTAATTTATTTTTTTTAATGTACCATCTTTCTGTGTAAATATCTCAAGTTACAATGTGGACACCTGCGGCTTATAGTCAAGTGAGGACTTTACATGTAAAAATCTTTCTTTCTTTAAAAATTTGGTTGCTGCGGCTTATAGTCAGGTGTGCTCTATAGTCCGGAATTTACGGTAAATGTTGCGGTAACAGTTAGTGTTACAAATGTGTATATAAGAAATCCAAAAGTTTTAATGCAGTTCTCTGTCTGTAGGTTTTCCTGCTCAGAGCACAATCCTCTTCAGCTCTTCTACATTCCTTACTTGGATTCTTTGGCTAAGCAGGTGGGGGTATTTCCCAACTTGCTGTGGCTCTTCCTCACTGACCCTCGCCTGGCTGTGCAGGTCCTCTTTGGCCCCTGTACCTCTTACCAGTACCGCCTGACCGGGCCAGGGCGGTGGAGTGGAGCACGCCAGGCCATCCTCACTCAATGGGACCGTGTGTATCAGCCCTTCAAAACCAGAGTGGTGCCGAAGCCGGAGAGAAAACCCAAGTCCAAACTAAAATTCACTGTCATACTGTCAGGAACTGCACTCATGTTTTACTTACTGTACAAATGACAACTTTTGCCAAAAGTTTCATTTATGTAATATTTGTACTTGTTGTTACATCTACCTATATTTCATTTTTCAGCTACTACAACTTTTAAACATTCTAATTACACCTATAATACTTTAATAGGGTAGACTATCAAAAGGTCAGCAATTTATCCAGAAATAAACCATGTACTGTGTTCTATAGGACTATGGTCTCCATATTTTTAAGGGGAGGTCTTGCTTCTAAGCTCCAGCAGATGGCAATTTTTTTTAATATTTTGGCAATTCCAGCAGAACGGATGGAATGATTTACACTGATTGCGTAATAAAATGTTTCAACAACAAAATAATAAAGTTTTGTTGGTAATAGATATTTGTTTGGCTTTTGAGTGTATTTAGTAAGTTCTTGTTATATTGCTTATGTGTTTCTTGATTTAGCAACAGGCTTCTTACAACACCATTGGCTACTTATCAGCTCAAGAGACGTATACTGCACATAAGCACTGCAATGTACAGACAACTGTGCACCCCACTCTGTGCACTCATGGCGCATATCCGTCATTTGTGCGGGGCAAATGCAGGTCGTGCAGTCACCCTCTCTGTGTGTTAATAGTTTAATCCATGTTTGTGCCACAAAGCTGTAAAATCAGAAACATTTACTGTATGTAATAAGAAATCTTTATTTATAAAGCACTTTTAAAAACAAGGTTTACAAAGTGCTGTAGAGTCAGCAATGAACAATAAAAAAAAGCATAAAAAGAGCATACAAAAAGCAAAAACAGATAATGATGCACACAATCCAATTAATTATAATAAACAAATAAAAAGAAATAGAATAAAAAGAAATAAGGAATAAAATCAAGCTATCTCACGTTCCGTCCTTCCCTCATTCGTGAACAAGACCCCGAGATACTTGAACTCCTCCACTTGAGGCAAAGACTCCCCACTAGGGATGGGCATGATTAATCGATTAATCGATAATTGATCATTAAGAATTTCATCGATTACGTTCATTTTAATCGACAAACCGAATGTAGGTTGCTGTGCGTAGCGTGACCAAACAGGGGTCCGTACATGTGTCTCTCTGCACTCAGAAGGAGCGAGCAAACACAAACAGTCGGTCAGTCTGCAACGCAAATGCGTATTTAACGATGATTTGTACAAGAAATTCCACGTTTTCCGTTGCGTTCGGGACAAGTGTGAGTCCATGTGCACAGTGTATAAAGCAGCACATATGTTTCGGTGTCCAGTGGGAAAAAGTTTTGCCAGGTGAGAGTCGCGCAATGTCGATGACGAGTCCCCACGTCCACCCCCCCGTACGGTGTCCTGGTTTTGACAAACGCAAATATGGTCACACTAACCTGTATTCCACTGAATCATGTCTTTTAATCCAACAGAAGTTGACCGCATCAGCGACACAAGAGCTGTAGTTTTATCTTCGCTTAGTTTCTGCAAATTAGCGATGCGGTTTTAAGTTTCGTTTTTGTGAGAGCTGCGCAAAACTGCATTAAACACATTATAATCTCAAACGGATTGATGTGGCTCTAGAGTCGTTACGGTTTATATGTCGTAAAGTTGAATTTATTTATGAGATTAGTAGTGCAGATAGTAATAATAATGATGATTATTTTAATATAAACACGTTAATGATTAATCAATAATCGATCGTTAATTCTTCCGACGATCGATTAAGAAAATTTCATCGAATGCCCATCCCTACTCCCCACCCACCCGGAGAGGGCAAGCCACCTTTTTCCGGTCGAGAACCATGGCCTCAGACTTAGAAGAGCTGATCTTCATCCCAGCCGCTTCACACTCGGCTGCAAACCGCCCCAGTGCACATTGCAGGTCCTGGTTCGATGAAGCCAACAGGACAACATCATCCGCAAACAGCAGAGATGAGATCCTGTGGTCCCCAAACCGGACCCCCTCCGGCCCCTGACTGCGCCTACAAATTCTGTTCATAAATACAATGAACAGAACCGGTGACAAAGGGCAGCCCTGGCGGAGTCCAACATGCACCGGGAACAGGTCTGACTTACTGCCGGCAATGCGAACACAGCTCCTGCTCCGGTCATACAGGGACCGGACAGCCCTTAGCAAAGGGCCCCGGACCCCATACTCCCAGAGCACCCCCCACAGGACACCACGAGGGACATGGTCGAATGCCTTCTCCAGATCCACAAAACACATGTGGACTGGTTGTGCAAACTCCCATGAACCCTCGAGCACCCGATGGAGAGTGTAGAGCTGGTCCAGTGTTCCACGGCCAGGACGAAAACCACACTGCTCTTCCTGGATCCGAGGTTCGACTATCGGCCGGATCCTCCGCTCCAGTACCCTGGCATAGACCTTACCGGGAAGGCTGAGGAGTGTGATCCCCCTATAGTTGGAACACCCTCAGGTCCCCCTTCTTATACAGAGGGACCACCACCCCGGTTTGCCAGTCCAGAGGTACTGTCCCCGACCGCCACGCAATGTTGAAGAGGCGTGTCAGCGAAGACAGCCCCACAACATTCAGAGACTTAAGGTACTCAGGACGGATCTCATCCAACCCCGGAGCCTTGCCACCAAGGAGCTTTCCAACCACCTCAGTGACTTCAGCCAGGGTGATGGATGAGTCCGCCTCCGAGTCCCCAGCCTCGGCTTCCTCCTCGGAAGACGTGACGGTGGGATTGAGGAGAGTATTCAAAGTATTCCTTCCACCGCCGGACAACGTCCCCAGTTGAGGTCAGCAGCTCTTCCCCCGCACTGTAAACAGTGTTGGCGAAGAACTGCTTCCCCCTCCTGAGGCGCCGGACAGTTTGCCAGAATCTCTTTGAGGCCATCCGATAGTCCTTCTCCATGGCCTCCCCGAACTCCTCCCAGCTCCGAGTTTTTGCCTCCGCAACCACACGGGCTGCAGCACGCTTGGCCCGCCAGTACCCGTTAGCTGCTTCAGGAGTCCCCCAAGCCAGCAAGGCCCGATAGGACTCCTTCTTCAGCTTGACGGCATCCCTTACTTCCGGTGTCCACCACCGGGTTCGGGGATTGCCGCCACGACAGGCACCACAGACCTTACGCCCACAGCTCCGAGCAGCCGCATTGACAATAGAGGCCGAGAATGAAGCCCACTCGGACTCCATATCTCCAGCCTCCCCCGGAATCCGGGAGAAGTCCTCCCGGAGGTGCGAGTTGAAAGTCCCTCTGACAGAGGGCTCCGCCAGACCTTCCCAACAGACCCTAACTACACGCTTGGGCCTGCCAGGTCTTTCCGGCTTCCTCCTCCGCCAGCGAACCCAACTCACAACCAGGTGGTGATCAGTTGACAGCTCAGCCCCTCTCTTCACCCGAGTGTCCAAGACACGCGGCCGGAGATGACACGACTACAAAGTCGATCATCGACCTCCGACCTAGGGTGTCCTGGTGCCACGTGCACTTATGGACACCCTTGTGCTCGAACATGGTGTTTGTTATGGACAAACCGTGACTAGCACAGAAGTCCAATAACAGAACACCTCAGGGAGGCCGTTCCTCCCAATCACCCCTCTCCAAGTGTCACTGTCGTTGCCCACGTGGGTGTTGAAGTCCCCCAGGAGAACAACGGAGTCCCCGGTCGGTGCACTGTCTAGTACCCCTCCCAAGGACTCCAAGAAGGCCGGGTACTCAGCACTGCTGTTCGGCCCGTAGGCCGACACCACAGTGAGAGACCTGTCCCCGACCCGAAGGCGCAGGGATGCGTTCACTGGGGTGAACTCCAACACACAGTGGCTGAGCTGTGGGGCAATGAGGAAGCCCACACCAGCCTGCCGCCGCTCCCCGCGGCCAACGCCAGAGAAATGGAGAGTCCAGCTCCTCTCAAGGATTTGGGTTCCAGAGCCCAAACTGTGCGTGGAGGTGAGGCCGACTATATCTAGTCGGTAACGCTCAACCTCCCGCACAAGCTCAGGCTCCTTCCCCCCCAGCGAGGTGACATTCCATGGCCCCAGAGCTAGTCTCCATGTCCGGAGATCCGGTCGTCGAGGCCCCCGCCTTCGACTGCCGCCCAGATCTCTTTGCACCGGCCCCATATGGCTCCTCCTGCGGGTGGTGGGCCCACGTGAGGACTACCCCACGTCGCTCCTTCGGACTGAGCCCGGCTCGCTGGCGAGCACCTACCCCGGGCCTGGCTCCAGGTTGAGGCCCCGGTGACGCCAATCCGGGCGACGTAACTGGCCTCTGTGTGTGACTCATCATATGGGACTTCTGAACCGTTCTTCGTCTGACCCGTCACCCCGGACCTGTTTGCCTTGGGTGACCCTACCAGGGGCATGAAGCCCCCAACAACATAGCTCCCGGGATCATTCGGGCACTCAAACCCCTCCACCACGATAAGGTGACGGTTCAAGGAGGGGGTGATGCGGTTGTTGTATCGTACCGTTGTGGTGAAGCGGGAGCTGAGCCGAAAGGCGAAGCTCTCTATTTACCGGTCAGTCTTCGTTCCTGCTCTCACCTATGGTCATGAGCTCTGGGTAGTGACCGAAAGGACAAGATCGTGGATACAAGCACTCGAAATGAGTTTCCTCCGCAGGGTGGCTGGGCGCTCCCTTAGAGATAGGGTGAGGAGCTCAGTCACACGGGAGGAGCTCGGAGTAGAGCCGCTGCTCCCCCACGTCGAGAGGAGCCAGTTGAGGTGGCTCGGGCATCTGTTCCGGATGCCTCCTGGGCGCCTCCCTCGGGAGGTGTTCCGGGCATGTCCCACCGGGAGGAGGCCCCGAGGAAGATCCAGGACATGCAGGAGGGACTATGTCTCTCGGCTGGCCTGGGAACGCCTCGGGGTTCCCCCGGAGGAGCTGGAAGACGTGTCTGGGGTGAAGGAAGTCTGGGAGTCCCTGCTTAGGCTGCTGCCCCGCGACCCGGCCCCGGATAAGCGGATGAAAATGGATGGATGGAAAATCAAGCTAAAACAAGTTAAAGGAAGGTGTGACCAGGGGGAGAGCAGCGGTCAGCGGGTCTGCTGTGGAATGGGGAGGGCATGAGTTAGACACCTGTCTGCTACGTAATGAGAGGCAAACGAAAGGATGCAGAGAAAACTAAAAAGGTTGACGTGTGTGTGCACAAACTTAAGAGTGTGCGTGCATGAGAGAGGCACACATGCGCGTGGAGTGTGTTTTTATTAATTGGCGTCTCATCACCCTACCTAATAATGATTATAAAATCTTAGCTATCTGCCTGGCAACCAACTTAAACAAAATACTAAATAAAACAACTAAAACAACTTTATGAATGCTAGATATATCACTGACAATATCCTTGACATTTTAGACTATTCCCGTCTTATTTCAAAAAACACTTTCATTCCATTTTGAAATTTCCAAAAACCATTGGACTCAGTAGCACACCACTTTCTGTTGAAAGTTGTTTAAAGTCTATTGGGACCCTGTCCACTTCTGGGAACAGCTCTATAAAACTGCCCCACGGAACAACTCATAGATTCAGTATACGCCGGGGCCATCTCTGGTAGAATCCTACTCTCCAAAGCTCAAGTGCTTTCTAGTCTACTTTATGACAGCTCTGCCCTTCATGTACCCAAGAAAAGAAATGCACATGCACACAAAATCTTATTTGATTTCATCTGAAAGAAAAAAGCACACCTCGTTAGGAAAAAATGTATGATTAATAATAATGGTGAATTTAACGTAATCAATTTTCAGACTCCACATTCCTCTTTCCAAAGTAAATGGATTAAAAGATATTTATTCAACCCAGATTCGTTATTTAACTTCATTTCAACACATGTATTTGAAGCATTAGGAGGTTTAAACTTTATTCTGAGATATAATTATAGCATCGATAGGCTTCCAATTAAGCTTTTCTAACAGTTACTGTTATGTTGGTCAAAAGTGTATAAGCACAACTTCTCATCACATAAGTAATACATATGACATAACAAGGATATATGCTTTAAGCACAAAACACTTTTCCTATTAAAAAAAACAAAACAAAAAAACGGGTTGACCAGGGTATCGTCTTTGTAAACCAACTGTTTACAACGAAGGCATTGCCTATTCTCTTAGTGAATCGGTCCCAAAAGGAAGGCATCCCTATAATAAGAGTATCTCGGGACTGCCCGGGACTCGAACCTGCGACCTCGGCATTGAGGTGAAGCCAAAGACGTATTTGAAAGCCTAGTAAGAGTATTGGACACTCGGGGTGATCAGGCCCAGGACGATGTGCAGGTCCGACCTTTGATGACAGCCCGAAACCATGCGGATCCGACTCCACGCTAGTGGAGGCTCTCAAGTGTCAATTCTCACCAGTGTACGCAACCCATCATGTCTCTGTGTTCAACAAAAAGGAAAGAATCACGGCTTCTATTTAAACCCTGCTACTGCTACTTGAAATTGAGTCATGGTGCTAACAAAAATATTCCTGAGGGACCATTTAGACGCCTAAAGAGGCCTTCGACCTCCATTTTAGTAAAGAAAAGGTGTTGGCGTTTCTGTTTTGGACTCTAATTATAACTCGTGCAATTTAGACAAGTTTTGGCCCTGTTAACACTGTGGAGCTATATGTAACAGTTATGGAATATTGGATTGAACTGTGTTGTTGTTGTTGTTTCAAATGTCAGTACAACATGTCACATAGGACGCCACAGACCAAACCAAAACGCTTTAAAAATTACGATAACATTGTAGTCCTCGTTGTTTGGGGACTAATAGGCCTATGCACGTTTAATGTTTTTTTTAGGCTCAGTACACTTGGCTAATTTATCTGCTCATCTGTTAAAGTTCCTATCTCATAACTACCTCTTAGTTTTTAGTTCACAAAACGATACAATTTCTTCAAACCGTGTAGCTAATATAACAAACTTTTGTTTATATATATTTATATCCGATATTTATTTTTTTACAGTACGGGAAAAAACATTTTATACTGACGACTGGATAAAATGAGTGACGTTTGCAAGGACAAGAGATTATTCTGGGCATATGGGCAGTGTCTGAAAAGTAAAATTTGTTTGGTCCGATCGCCCTCTAGTGGACAAATCTTTCATTTTTGACAATTTCTCTTGACTACATTTACTTAAAATACATGTTTTTTGTTTGTTTGTTTGTTTGTTTTTTGTTCACAGTACAGTACTCTTGCAGTGACTACTCAAATACCAAAACCAAAAGTAAGAGTGAGAAATCTGAAGTCTAAATATAATTTCTACAATTAAAAGTTTTACGTGTCATTTTGTGAACCAGAGACTTGCCTGCCTGACAGCCCATATAAGCGTACAGCTTATTATATAACACAAGCATTTATTTCATATTAATAAATATTTTTTCAATATTTCAACAATGTTCCTATACGCAAATTTGGACTTCAATAATCTTTTTATGTGTACTTATTTGTATGTGTACTTCACTTTACCACTAGATGTATCCCTCGAGCAGCAAACCTTCACAGAAGAAAATATAACAGAAAAAAATCAAACACACAGAAATCTAATGCAGTTTATTATTTGGTGGCAACTGTGAATGATCTATTCTCAAACACGTTCCTGCTTCTTGAACAGATTATCAGAATCTGTAGACCGTCTGATTATTACTGGTTATTACAGGTTAGGTTTCCAGGCTACTTTCTCTGCATAGCTGCATCGCTCCATCACAGCGCGTCAGAGTACAAGTAAATGTACACAGTAAATGTTGACCACTTGCCAGGCCGTAGATGTTTTGAGTCAGACGCAGGGTAAAGTCCTTTCAAACCACCCACCCGAAGCTCGGCAGAGTGTCCTTCCTGGTTCAGGTGAGTCTATCGGGGAAATTAAACCACTTGGAGCGAAGATGAAATGACAAACAAACTTGGCCATGGCCTTGTCTTACGAGTCTTCATATCTGTTAAAACGGGAACATGCGTGCACAATAATCTGAACACTCAACACGAGTGACGTTGCAGATTATGCGGGGGAAGTCTTGAGCTTTTACAAATGATCACCTAAGATACAATAATATAGCCTGCACTTACTGTTTTTTAGGAACTACAATTACAACTGAAGCTACAAAATTTTCTCCTTCTCAGCACAACTATGCCTTGTGTGAAATCTTTACGCGTAACTTTACAGTGTAAAGTAACGATCATATGTATATCCCCTTTATAGCTTCAAAAGTAGTGTCTGACCCTTGTGGACAATATGTTATAGTTACAGAGAAATTGTATAATATTTTTTTTTTCCTTTAGGAAATGCTTATGCTCTCAGTAATGATGATGAGAACTTTATAAACTTTTTTTTAGCGCTACCTAACATGGACTCCCATCACTTGATAAATGGGGGAGATTTCAATCTAGTTTTAGACCACAAACACATCACAAAAAGAATCCTTCGTGCCTAAATCTGCTAAAGCTATTCAAACATTTATGAGAAAATACAAATGATATGAGCCATTTCGGGCTAAGTCTCCCAACACAAGAAAATATTCTTTCTTTTCCCCAGCCCACCACTCACACAACCAGCAAAGGGAGAGAGAGTCAAAAATAACCCAAGAGCGTTTGGAGGTTGATAGAGTATATGCCAAAAGTCTCCAACCTATAGCTCGGGAGCTCCCACTAGCTCCCCACCCCATTCTAAGTAGCTCGCCAAAGGACTTCTGAATTACACGTATTGTGCTGAATGACTCAAATTTGATGACATACCATTATAAATGCATCATTTTGATGCCTAAATTTGTGCACTAATAAATGGATAAATGTTGATATTTTATAGACTTCTAACTGTTCCAAATCTACAGGTTTCCTATGCTGAATTTCTTGTGACCATGTAAAGTAATTGCTCTTTGGCTTTTTTTTTTTTTTTTTTTTTTTTTTGTAAAAGTAGCTCACCGGAAGAAACAGGTAGGAGGGGTAGGAGACCCCTGGTATATGCCAACTCTCCTACAGCTGATCTTCATAACAAAAACCTGTCTTTACAAATGGAATTGAATTTACTTTATACAACAATAACTACATTGACACTTGAACTTAAACACAAACATTATGAATATGAGGAAAAGCCTGGCAAATTGTTGACCCAGCAAATTAAAGAAGAAGCTGCATCGATACTAATAATAGAAATATGAACTGATACAGGACAGATTACCACAGATCCTAGTGTAACTAATTAATAATACATTTAAACATTTTTATTCTAAACTTTATTCTTCAGAATCTGAACACAACCCATATATAATAGATTTATTTTAAATATTATTATTCATATTTTTTATCATTTTTATCTATTTCTTTTTTTTTGTCTGAATGATTCAAATGTGCTAAACAAAGTATCTTATTGGAGACAATGCTTTATATATATTTTGTATATCACAAAATTGTAATAAAGAGAGTTAAAAAAAAAAAAAAACATTGTGCTTGTTCTAGTTGCTAAAGAGGTGCATGATGGTCCTGCGGGTGGCAGTGATTGGAGCGGGCAGCTCGGGTTTGGTCTGTATAAAGACCTGTGTTGAGGAGGGGCTAGAGCCTGTCTGCTTTGAGAGCAGTGATGACCTCGGAGGACTGTGGAACTTCAGGGTCAGTGGTAATGCTTTATGTGATATTCATGTATACTATAGACGTATAACATAATTTTTTGTGTGTTCCACAGGAGGCTGCACAGCCCGAGCAGCCCAGTATCTACCGCTCGCTGGTGGTTAACACATCCAAAGAAATGATGTGTTTCAGTGACTTCCCCATGCCCGACCATTATCCCAACTACATGCACCACTCCCTCCTTGTGCAGTACTTCAGACTGTATGCACAGCACTTCAACCTGCTCAAATACATTCACTTCCAGGTAAGTACATATCTGCTGTCACTAACACTGTCTAGTTTTGTATATGTGCATGAAGTAATTTTGTTTTGCTTAAATGTTATGTGATGGTGGTATTTTCTTAAAACAATCTCATATTAAACTCCAAACATACATTTTGTACAAAAGGAAACTACATTGTTTTTAAGACCACGGTGAAGCGAGTAGCGCAGAGAACAGACTTTTCTGTCAGCGGTCAGTGGGATGTGAAGACAGTGAACCAGGACGGAGAGGAAGATCACCATGTTTTTGATGCTGTGATGGTGTGCACCGGAAATTACAATCACCCATACCTGCCCATGTCTGAGTTTACAGGTAAAACAATTGAAGAGTACTGCAGTGGGAAGCTGTAAGATGTGGTACCATTAGTGCATATGTTTTTTATTGTGTTTACAGAATCAAGTAATAGGTTGTGTACTGACAGTCTAACCACATGTATTTATTTATTTTTGTTGTTGTTGTTTCCATCATAAAACGTGATTGTCAGTGGTATGATTTGATCCGTTCAGGCTCTGAGACCTTCACTGGTGAGCACTACCACAGCTGGGAATACAAAGATGCCGAGAGGTACAGAGGGAAGAGGGTTCTCGTGATGGGCATTGGAAATTCAGGCGGTGACATTGCTGTAGAGATCAGCAGATTTGCAGAAAAGGTGATCAAAAATACATAAATCGGGTCTATTTACATACAGTATGGCTTCTGACAGATAACAAGATTGCCACATACTGTATATTGTAGGAGAAATACGACTTAATGTGTTGTAAGATGTGCGTGCTTGAGCATATGGTTTAGCTTTTGAAGAATTACTGAAATTATACATATGTGGGGCACCAGATTCTGACCGAATCAAACTTAACCATAGCGACAAAACAACTTATCACATTTAATCAATCTGAAGGAAACGTTCCCGAAAAAGTGACCTGATGATAACTTTAAGAAAAATCACTGAAACCAGCAAATTCCTTTGTGTGGTTTATTAACAAACAAGAACTAGACACCAGCTTTCAAGTTCTGATTACGTGATTAACAATAAAGCACCGATTTTAACAACGTGAGGTAGTTATAAAAACGGGGTTCAGTTTAGCTCAGTTTTGGCGTTTCGCTAAGTCTCTACTGCACTTGCCTTACGAATAATTGGACGCAATTGTAAGAGGGATGCCAACCCTTATTCACATTCACTGTTCAGAACCAGCCTTACTTGGCGATGTTGGTCTCTGTTGAGGAGGTGATCAGTCTCTCTCACGGAGGTCAATCTCGCGGTCCGTTTGGGATGCGGCGATGGCGGGGTTCGGCGGTGGTCGCACGCACGGGCAGGCAGCGGCGTGATGATGGTACTCGGGCAGACCGGTCCACGCCTCCTTCGGGTCTGGTCCTCTCAGCTCTCGGCAGGTGTGACTCCAGGTCCTCCCAGCTCCTCTGGGTCTTCCCTGGTCCTCTTCGGCAGGTCCAGCGAGGCAAGGCGAAAAGCGAAGAAAAGCGAAAGCGAAGCAATCCGTTTTGCATGTGAGGCTTGGTTTTGGTCAGTGCGCTTGGTGGGCGTTGTTATATGCAAATTTAAGGCAAGCCCGCGTCTGAGCTGAACTGGTCCCCGTACAAATATTATTATTTCTCGAATTCACGTACTTCATATGCCTTCATAACATTTGGTGACAATTCATGCAGGGAAATCAAAGATATATCTGAAAAACACGCAGTGAAGTTACCGTAAACACTAACGCGGGAACATGATATAGATACACACAAGAGACCATGAACACATGAATTAAGCAATGTGACATACTTATTTTGCATTAACATGAGCCTTATATAAAACACAGTTAAAACATTTTTAAGCAGTTGTTAACCAAGATGTGTTTAATCTAGTCTTTCACTAGTCCAAAGGTGGCAACCTCTTCTACCGGGCTTTAACACGGCCCAAGAGTTTGCGCCGGGGAGTCTGGATAGGTTCCTGCTTCTTCAAAGCAAGAATGAGGAAAATCATTATTTGACGGTTGTTATCACTTTAGCAGAGCCATGTTAATCTCCCATTCTGATTCATGTCTCACTTTGCGTGGGGGAAAAGAGATGTGAGAGCACAGAAGATCAATTCTCTTGGGGTTGTAAATACCAAAGGACAGTCAGACAGAACCAACCTCTCTCTTCCTGGATGTGGATTCTGTCAGGGTGGGGGAGCAGGCACTGAACAGGCGCCTTTCCCTACAATATTATTGTTAAAACACCTATAAATGGACAGTTTGTCCTCAGTATTTATGTATTCAAACTCTGAGTGAGTTGAAGTCATAATGATTCTACATATAAGAATAGTGGTGCTTGAAGGAAAAAGTGGTATTTAGAAAAAATACTACTTTTAGAAAAAAAAATTAAAAATATATTATGCATTATTTTGGTGGGTGGTATTACATAGTGTCAATTCATCACACCATGTTGAGCCAAAGCTCAATAGTCTAAGTGTAGCATGAGATATGTATATATCAATATTATCGCTGTGAATTTGTTAAGTTAATAAACATACATCTTTCTTTTGTTGTTACAAAAAAGAGGTTATGCTATGCCTGATTAATTGTTATACTGTGTAAACATTTAATAGTAGAACTGATCTTTTGAGTGGCTTTTCCAGACTTTTCTCAGCACACGTACAGGGGCCTGGGTGATTGGGAGGATGTCAAACAGTGGCCTTCCTTTAGACATGACTGCTATTAACAGGTTTTCCAGCACTCTAACAAGTCTGCTCCCCTCTCGTCTCATCAACTGGATCACAGAGAGAGCATTGAACCATAAATATGACCACAGGCTGTACCGGCTGTGGCCAGAGCACAGGTGAGCTCTTTAAGTGATTATCGTGTTTAGTCATTATCAAGATCCAGTTTAGGTCTTCTTAAAGGTGCACTTTCTGGTAGAGTGTATGCCCCCTTCTTGTCTTCATGGAGACAGGATTGCTTTTTCAGAAATGTCTCACAGAAAAGCATGAAACTTAACGATCTTCAAGGAAATAAGCAGGTGATGCCACCAGGTCAAGTTACAGTAGATTTAGTTTGGAGCAAATGCTCCTCTGCTTTAATAAGCCGTACCTACTGTAATACATGTTTTGGATGCCTGTTTAATTAAACTAGAGCCCATGACTTTGTGTTTTCATGCATTTAACTGCATATAGAAGGCAACTTCCCCTTATATAGCATAGAATTTTTAGTAATCAAAACATTTGTAATTGAATAATGCATGATAGATACAAACAAAAATGTCACTGCACATTAAGACTATATTTAAAATCATGGATATACCTCTAGATATGAGGGATTTAACTTTTAATTATTTATTTATGTTTGTTAGAGTTTTTGACAGAAGAGTATTGATTAATGATGAACTCCCTTACCGAATCCTGCTTGGGGAAGTGGTGATGAAGCCAAACATTAAAGGATTTAACAAGTCTAGAGTTGTATTTGAAAATGATACAGAAGAGGAAATTGACATTGTGATCTTTTGCACTGGGTATATTACAACGTTTGCCTTCTTGCCCCAGTCTCTGTCTCAGGGACCCAAAGGAGAGCTGACTTTGTACAAGTAAGCATAAAACTACCCATTACTAAATGTAACAGCTTAATATAACCAACCCGTTTTTTATTCAGGAGAGTTTTTCCTCCGTCGTTGCAAAAACCTACATTGGTGCTTATGGGTGTTTTCAAAGCGAAAGGGCCCGCCATGCCTGTGGTGGAGATGCAAGCTCGCTGGGCTACAGCAGTTTTCAAAGGTAAAGCAAAAATATTTGAACATTATTGTATTAAAAAATTTATAAAAGAAAGGCACTATATGAAACTATTTTGTAACACTTTCTCTAGGTTTGGATCACCTTCCTTCCAAAGACAAAATGTCAAGTGTTATTGAAACAGAAAGAAAGATAAGCATGAAAAGGTGACTATATCAAATATGTCAGTTCCATAAATATGTTTTTTTTACTTTACTAATAAGTATAAAAATAATTGCAAAAACGTTAACAAGACACAAGTTTTATAAAATATAGCATACTTACATACAGCTTTAATGCTGAATACAGTACTGAGTCCCCTTCTTCTGTTGTGACACAATAGATTCAAGAAGAGTACACATCAGTAGAGGTTGTTTACATATAAGTAGTTTACAGACAGATTCATTATAACAGAGAATATTTATTCACAATCATTATAGCAGAGAATATGAAAATGTGGTGCTGTATTACTGACACCAGCCTTTATGCTTCGTCTTGTCTCAGGTTTCCATGCCCACTTCAGGCTGCTGAACAGGTGGACTATATCCCTTATCTGGATTTTTTGGCTAAGAAGGTGAATCGAGTTCTGCTCAATTTGCTAAGTATCACATATTGGTATAGTTATACTCTGGTGTATCTTACAGTAATTCAAATCATGACAATGACTGATTTCCCCGAACAGGTAGGGGTAAAACCTGACTTCTTGGGCCTACTTCTAAGAGACCCTGTGCTGTGGGTGAAGGTCTTCTTTGGTCCCTGCACACCATACCAGTTTCGCCTGAGTGGTCCAGGACAATGGTCGGGGGCGCGCCAGGCTATCCTCTCACAGTGGGGCCGCGTGGAACAACCCTTTAACACCAGAGAGATCCCAGAGCCAGACAGAAGGGCCTCCACATGGTCATCAGTCTGGCTATTAGCATTGGGAGGGAGTGTGTTTATGGCTGCTTTTGTGCGTAACAATATTAAAGGCAATACCTTGCCATGGTTTAAATTTTAATAGTTTAGATAGTTTAGCTTCCATATACATGAAACTATGGCCCTGGTTATAAACAAATGTAGAGATGTAATAAAATGGCTTGCCTATTCTCTTGCAATGTTCTGTGTTTTTTACAGTCAGTGGTTTAATGGTTTAAACAAGCACTATCCAGATATCAAATCAAATCAGCAAGTATTTTTCCCCCACCTTCATTAAAATGTTTTAGGTTTATAGATTTTGCAATGGTAATTGATGTACTGCAATAACTTCTATCTTAAAGCAAAATGTGTTTTTTCTGATCCAAAAAAAAGAAAGATAAAAGAACTAAACATGCCCTGACCCCAAATGCCCCCATGTTATGTACGAGTGTTTTTTCTGTTATCCAGTCTTCAGCTTAAAAAGCAGCATGTCCAGCATGGGCACTTTTACATGTGCCCGCTGAACTTCTGCTCAAGTTAAAACAGGTTCTCTTTTAATCTTGTTAATGTTGAACAAGATAGAAATTAGAAAGATATACTGCACACAAGCTAATTTGTTGAGCTCTTGCAAAGAGTTCTGACCTTTGACTTTGAATGAACAAAATATCAGGCAAAGGGGACAGTTAATGAGTTACAGATGACTATTTTATATTTTTCTCAAAATTAGAAATGACTGCCACATAATTATAATATATTACAAATACATAAAACATCAATCAGTATCTATTATAAGAATATAATGTAAGAAGCTTGAACCCAAAGAAAAAAAATACTACATTTAAATGTCCTATATTGCACAAAACTGACACTTGTGAGCTTGTTACCTGTTATTACCTCTGCAAAAACAGACCCGGACTTCTGTTTTTTTTTCATTCATACATGTTTGAGTAACCCTTATTATAGTCTGTCTACATGCTCAAAATGCTATGTTCCACCTTGTGATGTCATGAAGCAGTAGAATTTAGTTAGTTAGTTAATGTCATGTTATGAGGCAAGCATAAGACTGAGTTGTTCTCGAAACGTGTTTATTACAACGTTAGTACAACTCAACAGGAGCGCACACTTGAACTCACTTATCCAACTTAACAATAACGTATGCCCTTTAGTGGTAATCTTTGCTATATACAGTAGCCGCAATAGGACAAACCTCACAACATCTTCCCCCTTGAAAAACAAAACAAACAAACAAACAAAAAACACTGCCCTTTTAGCAGTACTAGGCTTTAGCTGAATGTTCAGATAATCAAATGGTGTACTAAATACACAAACAAAATATACATTTTGGTAACATAAACCATAAATGTTTTCCTTACATATATATATTTTTTCCAAAAATTAACAATAATCAATATAGAACAGTGCAGGACATCATTGGGGTAGACTGCCCTCAGTCCTGAAAGGGGTTATTTTGCCATTTTAACATCAGTCTCTGAATCGAAGAGGCACTTTTATCTCTCGGCCCCTTGAGGTCATCAGCACAGGAGTGACAGGTTGTATGGGAGGCCCTTGGGGAGGACCTGCCAGTGGCTGGCTTGTCGGAGGATCTGGAGAAGCTGCCACTGCTGTAGCGGGGAACACATCCTGCTGTGATGTGGTGGTGTCATCACTTTGTTGTTCGGAATTCTCTGCTGTCCCAGGAACAGCCTGAAGATGACGTCTGTTGCGACGGGCCACCTTTCCATTGGACATTTCCACGAGGTAGGATCTTGGCTCTTTGGATTTACTGATGACTTTAGCAGGAGTTGTCCATCCCTTTTCTCCATCAATCTTCACTCTAACACTTTGTCCAGGGTGAAGTTCAGAGAGTGGTCGAGCTGAATGTCTGCGGTTGTAGAAGAATTTGTAAGAGTCTTTAGCAGCATGTCCTTCAGGAGGACTTGGTCTGGATTAATTGGATGTGGCAGTAGTGTCTTTTCAAGTACAGGGACAGTGGTTCGGATTTGTCTCCCGGTCACGAGCTGTGCAGGACTAGCACCAGTTGCTGCGATTGGAGTGGAGCGGTAACTCATAAGTGCTAAGCAAGGGTCGGGCTGTTTGAGTATGTACTTGGCAGTTTGTACCGCTCTCTCAGCAGCTCCATTGGACTGTGGATAATGAGGGCTGGAGGTTATGTGAGAAAACCCATACGTCTGTCTGAAGTCTTGGAACTCTGCAGATGTGAACTGTGTTGCGTTGTCACTGACCAGTTCTAGCGGAATACCCCATCTCACAAAAATGTGCTTTAGCTTGTTGATCACTTGTCTGCTGGTAGTAGTGGTGAGAGAAGCAATCTCAATGTCTCTAGAAAAATAGTCAACAGTGACAAGATAACTTTTGCCCTCCAACTCAAACAGATCCACTGCAATTCTCTGCCACGGACCAGTGGGCAGTGGAGTTGTAACCAGCGGTTCACGTCTCTGTGCAGGTTTGTGTTCTCTGCAGAAGTTACATGTCCTCACTTTGCTTGTGATTTGTGCTCCAGTCTTTGGCCACCACACTGTGAGCTTAGCTCGCTCCCGGCACTTAGTGAGGCCCTGGTGACCTACGTGCAGCTGGTCCAGGACACCGGATCTGAGAGCCTTAGGGACCATGATGCGATCCTGATACAGCACCAGGCCTTCAGACTCTGACAGATGGTGTCTGGCTGTGTAGTATCCATGCATAGGTGAGCTCTCAGTCAGTTTGTAAACGAACATTTCCCATACCTTGGATGTAGCGGGCGAAACGTTTGCAGGCCCAGACCGATGCTAAACACTCCTTTTCGATCTGTGAATATCTTTTCTCTGCGTCTGTGAGAGTGCGAGATGAAAAGGCGACTGGGCGCAACTCTCCATCATGGTCTTGTAACAGTGCAGCACCCAGCCCATAGCTGCTGGCGGTCTGCTTGCATCATAGTAACATAGAGCTGGTGCCGCCACGAGCATTGCCTTTGCTTTATTAAAGGCTCGGTCCTGAGGCTCACCCCAAACCCATGCAGTCTCTTTCTAAGCAGATTGGTTAACGGGTGCAAAACAGTGGACAGGCCTGGCAGAAACTTCCCCACATAGTTTACAAGTCCAAGCACCTGTCTCAACTGTTCCATATTTGACGGGTTGGGCATCTTAGTAACAGCCTCCACTTTTGTCTCATCAGGTTTCAAACCGTCCGCACTAATGATGTGTCCGAAAAACTGCAGCTCTGTTTTCCCAAAGTGACACTTGGCCCTATTGAGCTTGAGACCAGATGTTTTGACTGTGTGCAACACTGCACTCAGATGTCGATTATGCTCTTCTTTAGTAGATCCAAACACAAGGATATCATCCATAACAACGACTGTCCCATCCAGGCCTTTTAACAGGTCACTCATCAGTCGCTGGAAAATCTCAGGCGCTGATGTGATGCCAAATGGCAGACGCTTAAAACAAAACCTTCCCATAGGAGTGATGAACGTGGTCAGTTTTTGACAACTTGGGTCCAGCGGGATCTGCCAGAACCCGCTGAAAACCTTTGCTCCGGCAAGCTTGGGTGTTATGTCGTCCAGTGTGGGTAGGATGTAGCGTTCGCACTTAACTCCTTTGTTCAAGCGTTTCAAGTCCACACACACTCTGACCTGGTCCTTGTTGCGTTTTGGTGTGGGCACCATTGGTGCACACCAGTCAGTTGGCTCGGTAACTTCTTCAGTAATCCCGAGATTTAACATGCGTTGTAGCTCTTTCTCAACTTTTGGAAGAAGTGGAAAGGGGACTCTGCATGGTGTGCTGACACTGTATGGGACTGCATCTTCAGTCAGCTCTATTTTAACAGGCTCAGAGTTCAGCAGTCCTATTTCCCCAAACACATAGCCAGTGGACTCACTTTTGACTTGACTGACTGTCATTACTAGTCCCATGCGCTTTGACACAGTCTTGCCTAGCAAATTACTGGCATATTGTCCTTTGATAACTGTGATCCAATGCTGATATTTCTGATCTTTGTATGTGGTAGTGGCAAGGAATTTACCGGCACATTTGACTCTCCCACCTGGGCTGTACACAGTTGGTGTGGATTGGATCAGTTTGGGCTTGTGCTGGAGCTTTTTGAAAGTCTCTTGTGTCATAACAGTAGTGTCTGCGCCAGTGTCGATTTTAAAATCCACCAGGTAGCTCAACGTCCCAGTCAGTGTCTGCGTTTGACTCCTTGATGACTGTTGGCTTTGACTTTGCTGCTCCCAGGAAAAGCTCTCCAATGAAAAATGAATCCTCATCTGAATCCATTACAGCCTCAGCTCTGACCTCTTTTAGCATTTTAGTTTTGCCACCTCGAAATGTCCCAGTTTATTACATTTCCTGCATCTTTTATTGTGGGCAAGGCAATTTTCTCTTTTACCATGCATTCTGTTACATCTTTGACAGTTCTGCTTACTTTCACAGTATTTCTGCCCGTGCGCCTGTGTTCGCGGTTTGTCATTGCTCCTTCTTGCGTAATTGTAATGTTTTTGCTTCACCTCATTCACGGTTGTCTCCAGGTGCTCTGCGCTTTGCTGCTTTACCTGCTCGCTAGCTGGACGGCTCTCTCCAGGGTCAAATCCGCCTCCAGTTGCAGTTTTTGTGAGACCTCCTTGTCCACTAATCCAATGACGATGCGGTCTCGGATCTGCTCGTCTTTGCTAGCGCTGAACTCGCAGTGCTGCGCGAGCTCATAGAGGCTCCGCACGAAAGCCTCCACTGTCTCCCCGGCCCTTTGGCTCCGCTTGTGGAAACAGGCGCGATTGTGGATAACGTTTCTTTTAGGGAGGACAAAGTGCTCGTCAAACTTTCCCATCACAAGAGTTAAAGTCATATTCTGGATGTGGCCTCTCCTCCGTAGCAGCAGGAAACTCAAATGATCCATAGATTGGCTCTGAATCTTTCCCCATTGACTACAGAAGCGAGTTCACCTGCACCTCGCCGTCCTCTCTGTCGAGTTTTGACGCGACTCTGAACCGGGAGAACCGTTGGCGCCATGACGGCCACTCTGCCGGTTGTGTAAAATCAAAAGGCTCCGGAGGTCCAAACTTAGCCATTTCTTCTTCAATGTAGGCGTGAAGTCTTCAATTCTGACACCATGTCATGTTATGAGGCAAGCATAAGACTGAGTTGTTCTCGAAACGTGTTTATTACAACGTTAGTACAACTCAACAGGAGCGCACACTTGAACTCACTTATCCAACTTAACTAT